TATATATTCAAAATGAAACTTGAAACAGTTCTCAATGCTAGTTTTCCTGTTTAGTTGTTAACTTTTTTCCTACTTAATTTTTTTGGGGTTTTTTGTCCTTTTTCCACCAATTTTCTACACTTTAACTGACCTTTTTAAATATTCATCCCTCAGTTTCTAGCAAGGAGCCCATCAGAAATAAACTTACTTGTGTTGATTTAATGGGTTGTCCTTGCGTCCATTCGTATATTTTTTAAGCAATTAAGTAATTTTACATTTTAATTTTAATAATGCTGTTTTATCTTGTTTTATTTTAATGAATTGAACGGATGCTAAATAAATAAATATAAACATACATACAGATATATAATTTGTAGGCTATATTATATACTACAAGTTGTTACAGATTTATTTTTCCCAAATATGAAGGCCAAATATTATTGTATACATTATGTAACTACTTGATTAATAATATTATTGTATACATTAAATTAAAAGTCCCAAACATGAAATCAAAAGTTGATTACAGAGGAGCAACTTAACTTTGAAAAAAAAGAAGAAGGGGCAGATGCATGTTTTTGAGTTTATAAATAAGATTTAATCAACGAAGTTTTTTTTACTCATACTGTAGTTATTTATTTCTATGAATTGCTAACACAAAAAGCTGGGGGTGGGTGGGGTTTTACTGCTTTCAAGTGCCTAAATTAAACTTAGTAGAAGTAACCAACTACTCTAATAGTAACCCATACTCTAATAGTAACCCAACCTAAAAAAACAATCAAAGAATAGTAACCCAGGGTTATTATTAAAAGTTTTATGGTATATATCAGCTATGTATGTCAACCTTGAATGAACAATGTTTACAAATATTTTCATCATAGGCCGACTAATGTACAGTATACACATTTAATGTAAATTGTAATTTTATAGCACACTGTCATCATTAAAACTCAATATGATTACACCACGTGTACCAACACCAAAACAATATGTGTTTAAACTTCTTTTTTTTAGATATTCACATTTATGCAAATAATTTATACATTTATATTAATGTACAGTGGATTTCAGACAAAAACCAATTATTATTAAAAGGTAAAATACTGGAGGAAAAAAAAACAATACAACGTGGGAATAGATGGCTGAATCCTGAATTAAGTAGAAAAAAAAAAAAAAGCTAAAATGTAAACGCGAGGTTTGCAGCCAGAAACAGAACCAGAGCTTACAGACAACACTAGCCCATCTATGTAGCATGTATATAATACATTCATTGAAAAGAAGCATATAATGTTGTATAAAACATCTGTTTAAAAACATAAACATAAGCAAAGTTTGCAGCCAGAAACAGAACCAGAGCTTACAGACAACACTAGCCCATCTATGTAGCATGTATATAATACATTCATTAAAAAGAAGCATATAATGTTGTATAAAACATCTGTTTAAAAACATAAACATAAGCAAAGTTTGCAGCCAGAAACAGAACCAGAGCTTTCAGACAACACTAGTCCCATCTGTCTAGTATGTATATAATACATTCATTAAAACGCAGCATATAATTTTGTATAAAACATCTGTTTAAAAACATAAAATAATATCTCCCTTTGTCTCATAATATTTTATGTTAAAACTATATACAAAATTATGTAAATCTTTTTTACATAATAAAGATATTATACTGTTTCTTGTGGAATTTAGAAATTAAAAATTTAATAATGTGATTTGCATTCAGATTAAACCAAACCCTCTGATTCTGAAAGCCCCAATTTTACTAGAGTATAAATCACATCATTACATTCTATATCAAAATATATAGTACTTATGTCTATAAAAATATCATAAAAGACAATAGTATAAATAAAATCTACTGTTCTTTGATTATGGGCAAGATTGATTCATTGTGGCCTAATTTATATAAAAAAATTAAGTGATTATTATTAATATCAATTATGAGTTTTGTTTAATTGGTTAGACTCAAATTTCAGCAGGGCTATTCAGAGAAACCCAGCCAGAACTCTAGGCGGTGCTATTCAATGACTGCTCGCAGTATTTATTGTAGACTAGTCTTGAAGTAACTGTATCCATTACAGCTAGACCTGATCAGTAAACAAAATGTATGTGAGTGTTGTTAATGAGATTTAATAACAGTATTAAATTATTTGCATACTTCTAGTGAAAGTAATAGACAGGTGAACTTGCCTAAGTCGAATCCAAAATGGCATTTGAAAAATTGTTTGGGTAAAATTTGACTTACAGATCGTCAATTAATGGAAAACACAACAATTTGTCATATAAAATGAGATCGACTTAGAAATTATTTGAGTTAGACAAAGTCGACTAAAGACAAGTTTAACTGTAATTTCAAATGAAAAAGATATTATGATTAAGTTTTTGAAAACATTATACCTGTGATAGAATCTAAAACAGTTAACATTTTAATTGAAACATCTAATTGCTGTTGTGAAAATGTTAAAATATCATGTGAAGACGTAAATGAATGATTGTAATAATGATGATTACAATGATGATGTTGACTTTGATGATGATGATGTCGATGATGATGACGATGATTATAAGGCCAACAAAAATAAATTGTTTTGTTTGCCCTCCTTTACCTGCCCCTAACTTACTGAAAAAAATAGGGGCAGAAAAACAAAAAAACTTTAAAAAAGTTTTTGTTTTTAGCTTTTTTCTTCACAAATTAAAAACAATGTGAGTGAATTTATCTTTATTTTTGGCCAGATGCCCTGCAAATTAGTCTAAAGTTGTTGTCTGATGTAAGATATTGCCATTCTATGCCTTAGTGGGTTATTATTATTCCATCTGATGAGTATTTAAAAAAAAAAAAATGTTTCCAACTTTTGGCCTAATGATGATGATGTTAAATGATAATGATTTTGATTATGATGATGATAATGATGGTTATGATGATGTTGACCTATATGATGATGATAATGAGGAAAATGATGATGATGATGATGGAGACAATGAAAAAGATGATGATGGTGATGATGATGATTATTATGATAATGATTGTGTCTATGATGAGTATGATAACTGATATTGATGATTGATTGATTAATGATAAAATTACAACGGTATTATAGTTGACTGATGATGATTAATGATAATTGACGATTATGATAATAATAAAATAATAATAATAATAATATTATTATTAATAATAATTATATTAACAATAATAATAATAACAATAATAATAATAATAATAATAATAATAATAATAATAATAATGCTGATGATGATTATGAAAGAAAATATATATTATGGTAGAAATTACCTAATGATTTGAAGACAGTTGTTTGTTCAGTTTTTGCTTCCTTGGTTCCATTCACAACTTCTCCTATTTCTGCATAAACATCACACTGAGAGGGAAAAAAGAAATTATTTGATTTACACATTTAACAAACAGTTATAGTGCATTGTATTATGGTACAGTGCATCATTTGGTATTTTTGCCTTTAGAACAGATGTCTGTAGAGTATGGTAGTACACACAGACAGCCATATATTTTGCAAACTTATCAGTCATCAATCTTGTCTTAATCTTAGTCTTAACTGTATCTGCAGCTGTCGTCACCATTGTAAATCAGGACAGGTTCCTGCACTCTTGCAACTGAATACAGTAAAAAAAAAAAAAAAAAAAAAAAAAAAATAGATGTGCTAAGAATACTTCTATCTCCAGAAAATGACTTCTTCCAACTTAGAACCCCTGAGAATGAGGTTGGTTAAGCTTGATTTCCATACAATTGCTACAAGCTATCGCAGACAGCTTTCGGTGATGCTGATTGGTTGATCGACCTTCCCGATTGAGGCGGAGACCACTATGGAGTACAATGATTGCACTGAAAGCATTGTAAAGATAATTTTAAGGAAACGAGGATCTACCTGTTTCTATACTTTGTATTAATCTCCTGTTTGTATTTTTATGAAAAGCACTTATCTATCTTTCTATTTTGGAAAAATGAAGTGAAACTTCAATCTGGATTCCTACCACTATCCATTAATATTTTTCAATCATTTCACTGTCATCGGAAATAGATTCTCTAATGACAAGATCAAATATTACAAAAAGTCTTACAATATCCTAGTCTACAGGTTTGTAGCCGAGGTGAAGGAAATCTCGACTGCCACACCAGAGCTAACTAAACCCCTACTGTGGAATTTGTTAACTAATTTTATATTTGATATTAAATTTCATATTTTTTAATGCTAGCTTAGAACAAATTACTAAAATTAAGGTCTATTTTACCTTGGATAGAAGAACATCACCAGACTCCTTAAAAATAGCTTCGAGGCTGTCAGCATATACAACTGCATTGCGCATGAGCTCTGGGTCAATTTCCTGCCAATTAGGCCTACAGGCACCAACCGCTGATTGAAAGAGAAATACTATTCATGTAGGAATGTGCTTAGTTCAACCGCAGAGATTTCTCCAAATCCCTTAATATTTAGTTATACCTGTAGTACAATATTTCAAGGCTATCAAAGCTGGCTAGAAAAGGTCGTCTATGGACAGTACAATAATACAATTAAAATATTACAAGAACAAAAAAATTAACTAGACTGGTTCCAAGGTTAGGTTCAATATCAGCAAGGGTTTCAGTTACAAACAGAGCTTGCATGCATATCGTAAAAAAACCTCCAAAAAACACTTGCTAGTTGTTGACATAAGTGACAAGATGTATGTAAACAATGTCTATGTAAACAATGTTTACTGCCCAACAGAGGGCAGTACACATAAAAAATAATACAAGCGATCATGTCATTCACAATTTCTAATGCAAAATAACTATTCAAAATAACTTAACTTTCATATACAGTTGCAAATTTCACAAAAAAGCCTTAATGTGCACGATTAGCACAAAAGAAAAAAGAATGCACACCCCAAAAAAATTAGATCATTATATTTAGTGAACACTAATAGATTGAATGCAAAATAAATCTGTAATTATTGTAAATGTTTTGTCATTTTAATACTGGCAAGTACATTTTGTTTTTATCTCTGAAACATGAGAACAAAGTCATAGAACTAAATTTTTAAAATATATTGCTCATGTTGAAATAATATATCATCAATTTGAACATAGAAAAATTAATAAAGTAATTTTAAAATTATTTTTAATAATATTATTTATTTTCATTTTTTAACAAAACATTTACCATTAATATGGGCACCTTTCTTGACCCATTCATATTTTAGGACAGGTGTGGAGGAACTGGTAACTGTTACTATGACATCCGCATTTTGCACCGCCTCCTCTCCTGTTTCACAAGCCCTGCATCCAAGCTCTTTGGCTAGCGCCTGAGCCTTGGAAAATGTTCTAGTCCAGATTCTTGTCTATAATGTTTACAAAAAAAAGGATAACATTATGATTAAAGATCTACTCTGTGATAAAATCAGGAAAAATCCCTAAAAATGTTTAATTAGAAAAGTTAAGTGCTCGCTTAAGCTCTGTCTTCACTATCAAATGCTCTTTTGACCAAAAAAAAAAAATTGTATGCCCATATATAGTCATGATGTGCCTATTTATGGTCATGATGTGATGACATCATTACTATATTTAGGCATATCACATGTTTTATTAGACTGGACAGGGCTTTATAAATATCAAACAAGCTATCAACTTCAAATGAAACACAAATAAAAAAAAATCACAAATCCTGAAATAGATATATTTATGGGAGGAGAGTGTTTGCTTTGTATTGCATTACATTATTTTTTAAATATATATAAATTAGTAGTATTTCGTGTATTTTGTGTTCGACCCTGAATGAGGACACTGCTTTAAACTGATTAGGGCACTCAGCCTAAATATAAAAGAATATAATCAATTGATTGATTAATAGACAGGTTTTAGAAAACTATGGGTGGGTGGTACAAATTTTAGGGGTAGCTGATAACATTGATTGATACTCAAAACAATTCACAAATCCTGAAAGCAATATTTATGGGAGACAGTCTGCTTTTCATTTTTTTTACATATTTTTTTATATAATTAGTTTGGATATAATTGGTACTATTTTTTTATCCAACGAAATGAAAAAAAGCAAAAATTATTGGAGAGCCACTAGAAAGTGAATTAGTTCACTTTTTGGCAATCCTGTCCTGCCAATTAAGTGTTTTTTCTTCTCTCTGTTATTCTGTGTTTGTAAGTTTTCATTGTTCTTTGGACATGGAAGCATGTTTGGACTAAACAAATGAAATTAAATGTGTTAAAGTGTGTTGACCTTGAATGAGAACAATGCATTTTACACTGACTAAGCCACTCAATATAAAGAGGAAATACATGAAAAAAAGAAAATATAGAAAGGAACTTTGAATATGATTGACTGATTGATTTTGATTAATAGATTGATACATCAATCAAGTGAATTGTGTGAATTTAGTATTTAAGCGTTGTTTATTTTTAGTCGCACATCTCTATGGTAACCTAATTTGTGTGTAACAATGTCTGTTGGGTAATCCAGGGCTTTGGTCGTAAATCAATATAAGTAATATGCACAGGCAATGAAGATGGCAGTACAGTAAAGTATATTTGCGGGTATATATATAATACTGGTTCAGGAATTGTGAATAAACTACTTTCTCCTATGTTACTAATGCGGTCATAATAGTTCATTCAATGGAAGAAAAGCATCAAAGAATTTGTGAGTGTACAGACGCGTACTCATTGTGGAAAACCATTAAGTACATAAAATATAATAGTGTTAAGGGCACTGTAGGAGCTACAGTGAGAAGATTACCATAAATATTTATGGGATGAACTGTCTGAGTTTAACAAGAATCAATCAAGAATACTACATTGTTATCAATCAAACAAGTGACAAGTCTTCAATTGATTAAAACAGAAATCTGAAAACTTACATTGTCATTTATTATATGAGGGTGGTCTCTGTATTAAGTTAAAAAGTAAAAAAAAAAAAGACTGCTACTGTTTTTAGGAAAAAACTATAGGCCTAACAGTGGAGGATCCAATGGGGGTTCAGGGGGTTCGAACGAACAACCCTCTGTGAAGAAACGCAAAAAATACTACTGGGACTCGGCTTACAAAGCCATGCTAACCAACCTAGGCATAGGTTAGCAGATGATATCAGACAAACAAGGATTAGAGTAACTAATCTTCAATTAAACTCATCAATCCATGGAAAAAAGAATACATAGTATAATGTCTGATTGTTTTTTTGAAATAGGCTTACTTACTGTAACAAGAATGAGAGAATTATTTGACTGTTCTCCAAAAGGGGAAAATATTAAATTTTGAAGAGCATAGGTCATTAAAAGACACCTCAGAAGTCAGGAAAGCTCATTTTCGCGGCCATCTAGGAATCAAAATTTTCCCGGGGAGAACCCCTCTTTCTTTTGGGGTTTTTTGGAAACATTTTGAACACCTGCCTCCTTCAAATCCTCTATCCTGCCTAGTATAATTACACTGACTTCACAGAAAGACTTTTCTTACCTCTTCAAAGGGAATGATGGAATTAAGGCAATGGAAATGACTTCTAGCTTGGGCTCCGGCACCGAGAATTGCAAGTACTTTAGGGTTCTTAGGTGCAAGATGCTAAAAACAAAGTAGAACAACAAGAATGTATAATTTCATTTTTATTTTATCTTATTTTGGCATAGAACACCAACAATTTACAAACAGTAGCCACAGCCTGAAATGGTTAAAAGATAAAATATTTAAAAATAGAGATTAACATCACTACAATTTTCATTAACAGTTATACCCTTATTATCAAACTGAAATAAGTACAAAAATCAAATTGAAATAAATTTACATGCAAAAAGAGAAGGTCAAAGCATAAAAACAGAGAAGAAAAAAACAACTACTACTATTATTAGTTAATAATTATTAAAAAGACAACAGATATTTTCTCTATATTGTGAACAAAAATACTTAAAATTAAGGAAAAAAGACTAAAACTGCACACAGAACATCAAGGTTGTACAAAATTTTTAAAAAATTACAAAATAAAATTGATGTCAAAACAAAGATAATCAAAGAACAAAAGGCTTACTATAAGAATTGAAAAAGCATATTGTGTATAAAAACATCAGAATTGCTTCATTATTATTTAAAAAAAGTAGACATAAAATTGTAATTTCCAACATGTTAAAATACAATCACCTAAAAGGACAACAGCACAGTCCCATAGAATTTAGACAAGGGTGTGTGTTTTTAGCAAGATTGGTTTTACTTTTAATATTCTTTTAAAAAAGACTGTCACACAATAATAAAGGTGCCGCGTCATCAAATAAATTAAACACCGCAAAAATATTCCCTAAAGCCAGTTAGTCACTGCATTGTGCAAAGCGACTGCTGTAGGACCGTCGTACAATGAATCCAACTGTACTCCCTGTGTTCGGTAAACGACGCCATTTCCTGATTGTCGGCGGTAGTCTGAAGGGATTGTCATTAAAAATGCTCCGTTGCGCGCGTGTCGTGGCATTGCATTCTCTATAGAATTGAGTCGGCTTAAGACCCTTCAGCGCAGTGAGTGACTAGTTGAAGTCTCATAAAGAGGCTTTTTATTTATAAACATAATGAGTTCATTCTGCAAGTGAGTAGTCTATTGAATGAAAATAAAAATGAACACTAACTTTTGTTGCAACTGCTGACATTGCTGCAGTTCGTTGACATGTTATTGTTTCACCAGCTAACAACTGTAAATAAACAGTATTTACATCATTTATTTATAAATAATTATTGATAGATATATCATCTGTTGAGCTAATAAAACAAAAGTTCAATTACTTTAACAAGAAAATATTTAATTTTTTAGTTTGATATGCAAGATATTATCTTGTCAGAATAAAGTGAAATGGATATAGTTATGAGCATAGGATGCCGCAGCCGGCAATAATTGTGTATCAATGGGCAATAATCATATAGGAATGAGCAATAATTGCATAATAATGCAGAATGATGAAGTCACCCATTCTAATATATTCAATAATAATTATAACATTAATGTTTATGTTTTTAATGATAATAAATAATAAGCTTACAGCTTTCATTGTCCCGTTGGTGGCGTCAAACAACGATATATAAGCTTGGTGGGAAGGCATGTCCTTGTTGTCCGAGTAAAATGTCACAATCTTTGTAGTCATAATATCATCATACAAACACGGCATAACATAATTCATTCTGAAATATGTAAATCGTATAATAACATACTTTTGTTATGGTAATTTATTGCTTGATGGTACAGTAAGTACTAGAAAACATATCTAATCTACTTTCTTTCCCCCTCCCATCCCCCTAAAACAAAATCTCTCACCCATTTTGTTTTTCCGCAGGAAACATCACCCGGACCGGCTGCACAACACCACCTTCCTTTCCCATCGAAAATTTGGCAAATGCACTGCTAATTATTGGTATCAGATCTGCATAATTTAACAATTTCTTCACAGCTTCTTCTGTTATAGTGATAATATTCATTTTGAATTGATTCTGAAAGACAAAACAAACAAAGGCTGTATTCGACTGGTCGTTTTTAGTTAAAACACACCCACCTGTGCAGTGATAAAATCCTACTTAACAAAGCTACCAGTCGAATAGAAAACTTGTAAATACTCGACAAAACAAAGTGGCTGCATAGTTACCATGATACACGCTGTGTAATCAAGACTGCTTCAACTTGTGGTAGTATGGGTTTTTCGTCAAAAAAAAAAAATTTTCATCCAGTTTTTTAATTCTGTTAGCCTATAATTATCTTTTGACGTCAAGTGGGTAAATATTATAATTGTTATTTTCTGAAAATTAATCTAAATTATATTAACGCGCAAATGTTGTTTCTAAACTCACCAATCGGCCATGTTTGTTTTGGCCACATGAATAACTTAACGCTGATTACCACACTCTGGTTTACGTTAATTTTCGTTGTCAACGAAGTCTATTTTACGATCCAGTCGAATGAAAATAATACTCAACGAAAATTCGTAGTCGACGAAATGAACCAGTCGAATACGCCCAAAGTCTTTTACAAACCTGTTTCTACAGTTTATTTGACCTTTACACTAAGCCCCGCCCCTTGGAGATTGTTGATATGGTCTCACAAAACGACAGTGTTGAAACATACGCAAACACGTGGCTTTGTGGGGCAACATGTGCTTGTTAGAAACGTGTGTATTCATGTCCTATTCTGATTAGTCATTTGTTAAGTCTGACACCCCGGAATGGTCCATTATCTAGAGGGAAGCAGTGGCTGATTTAATTATTTAGTTTACTATATAAATGTTTATTATGAAATAATGGCAGAAATCCCATGATTTACAAATATGACCAAGTAGGACTTTTTGAAGATATCACACAAGAAATGAAGCCTCCTGATCATAATTATGATCATTCATTATCACGATCATAATCATCATCACATGATAATCATGATGATCATCATTGCCATGGCTGAGATTTGCTATCTCTTTTAACAGCAACAACAACAAACATCATGGTCAGCCTCAGAAAAATGACAATCATTTTTATAAAGTTTTGACCTTAACCTAAAGTAAACAACACAGTCACTGTGTCGGTCGATGATTGTACGACCGACCGTATGGTCAGCCTCATAAAAATGACAATCCTTTTTATGAATAGTTTTGACCTTAACCTAAATTTGATTTTCTTTAAGGAATAATTTCTAGGGCAAAATAAAGGTCAACCTCATAAAGAGAACACTTGTTTTAATGGGCCGGTTGATGCTCATTACCATATTAATCCAATTATTTAGTTCTTTTTTAATAGAGCAAACAAATCTTTATGGACATTTAGATATACTGTATTCATATTAACATTTAGACCCCGACAACTGTTGTTTTACCCACCCTAACCAGCACAGAGTGCCACCGATTCTCCACTCGCGGGGGAGTATAGCAAGCCATGCTACATTATATACCGTAAATGCTTGAATGAGCGCTGCGGCTCTTATCAAATTTTTGGAGGCTTCAGTGCAGCACTTATTAAAGAGCGGCGCTCATAAAAACATATTGGCGTGGCGCTTTCCATGCCTTTCCCATGTTACCTATGTCTAAAGATATGGCTGAACGAGATACGGTGAACGCCGGCGAGATACTGTACGTATATGATTATGAACTTTTAGAACACAATATTACAGAATTGGCAGTCAAAATAACGTTACTTGGAATAGGCAAATTATTATTTCGTTTGTATTTGATCCCACGACCTACCGGTAGGCATGCGTTGCTTGTCTCGGGCTGCAGGAATGTCCAACGGGGTATTTCCCATCCAACGGGGTATTTCCCATCCAACGGGGTATTTCCCTTCCCCCGCTGGCACCACCACTGACAGTACCAACCTAACAGAAATGTATGGGTGTGTTCGTTAAGGGGGCCGGTCGGTTCATTAGAGGGTGGCAAGTTTTTCTTG